ACTACTAGGAAGCTTTTTTTTTTTTTTTTTTTTTGGAGACAAGGTGGGTCTCGCTCTGTCGGCCCAAGCTGGAGTGCAGTTGTGTGCAATCTCAGCTCACTGCAACTTCTCTGCCTCCCAGGTTCAAGTGATCCTCCTGCCTCAGCCTCCCTAGTAGCTGGCCATACAGGCTTAATTGTCCGATTACATTTAGTAGGACGGCGGGCGTTTGGTGCCCATGTGGCCAGGCTGATCTCTCAAAACTCCTGACCTCAGGTGATCTGCCCACTTCGGCCCTCCCAAAGTTGCTGGGATTACAGGCGTGAGCACCACCACCCTGCTGGAGCTTCTACCCAGGAGGACCCCACCACGCGCCATTGCGGGAATGCCAAGGCGCATACAACCACCACAGGTTGGGCAGGGTCCTCACACGAGACAGGACGGGATTTGATATAGTTAGTTGGTATTTGCAAACAGAGCAGATAGTTACAAGTGAATTATTTCTTCCAGCGTATCTTAACTCAATGTCCCACTATCACCTTCCTTTCGGGTAAGGTGAGAATCTACGCAATAATGGGCAATTGTAAAATGGCTTGTCAACAGGTCAACAGCCATATCTGACAAAAAAAAAAAAAAAAAAAAGCTCTGCTACAGTAAATGGTAGCCACTAGCCATATGTAGCTACTTAAATTCATTAAAATTAATTGCATTTGAAATATGTTCAAAGTCACATGTGGCTAGTGGCTACCATATTGGATAGGGTAGACTAGTTCTATCATTGCAGTGAGTTCTATAGGACAGCTCTGATCCCAGAAAATTCCAGTGAGTTCTATAGGACAGCTCTGATTCCAGAAAAATCCAGTGAGTTCTATAGGACAGCTCTGATTCCAGAAAACTCCAGTGAGTTCTATAGGACAGCTCTGATTCCAGAAAAATCCAGTGTAGAAATCTTCTACATCTAGGAAGAAACCTGCTTGAATTAGAGGAATATGCAGGTAAGAAAGCCTGATAAGGGGAATGCCGCCTTCTCCCAGGAATGTATTCCCTCAAGAAATGCAGAGAAATCATCCACACTTAGAGAAGAAATTAAGCAATGTAGATTTAAATTTAAGAGACAATAAATCTTACTGCATAACATCTAGGGACATCTTTGGGAAAAAAAGCAGACACTAACTGTGCTTTTGTTTCACTACAGACAGATGCTAAGCAATGTAATCATGTAATAGCCAGGGACAGAATATGTGAATGAATGGATCATTGCTCTGAATCACTTTATCCAAAAAATCCTCTATGCCAATATGAGGAGAAAGTAAAAAGTTTTTGTTTTGATGATGTTCTATCAGTTAGATACAATTATCTTTATATAATGCCGTGGATTGCTTTAAACCAAATTCTGACATTATATAATATTAAGCCCAAGTTTTGTTGTTCTTCTCGGAACCCTTCAGGAACAGTGGAGATTCGTGGATATGTTTCCAAGGGTATCTAAGATCAACATCTTCCGGGGAATTTTCCTTAATAACTGCTTGCAGTCAGCTTTTAAAAACTGCAAGGTTTTACAGCAGCTCTCATTTCCTTTTCAATC